AGTGACACAGCTTTGTACCTTCCTTACAGTAGAGCAGCAGACCCTGCCTGTGTTTAATTTGCAGCAATGGCACAGACCTGTCAAATGCTATCTTATCATGCTTGAGATGTGATAGGAAAAACATTTTTCTTTTAGGTCCATAAGTTCATTTGAGAAATATAGTGATATCTCTGGACAGAAGAATGGTTGGAGTCATAATAACGCCCAGGTTATGTGCACCGCTGCCTTGTTGAGGTGATGTCTAGGGGTCCATGACCTCTCTCAGGTTAGATCTTGCTGTATGTTTTCTCTTGTTATGTGTGCTAGGCCACATACCTTTCAGGTGCCCTGGGGCGATCTTGCCCATCAGAGCTGTACTGGTGTCTCTGTCCCAGGGACACTGACAGAGGTAGCCCTGGATCCCAGTGCTCAGAAGCTGCTGGAGGAAAATACGTAGTGCAAAGAGCTGAGGGTGGGTAAGAGCAACAAACAGAGTTTTGGTGACATATAGGGTTAAGAGATCTTTTAACCAAAGCCTATATGTTGGTGTATGCATGTTTTTGGCCTTTGAAATTATAACTTCTGCTGAGTGATGTTTATGAAATTAAAGTTTTGGAACTTTCATGATAGCTAATGTAATGTTATCCTATGTATTGGGTCCGGCTGGGATGAATTTATGAAGTTAACTTTCTTCATAGAAGCCCATATGGTGCTGCACTTTGCATTTGTGGCTAAAAGTGTTGATAACACATCAGTGTTTTGACTGTTGCTGAACAGTGCTTGCACAATGTCGAGGCTTTCTCTCCCCATCCCCAAAGGCCAGTAGGCTGCGGGTGGGCAAGAGATTGGGAAGGGACATAGCCAAGACAGCTGACCCAAGCTGATCAAGGTGATATTGCATACCATATAACATCATGCTCAACAATAAAAGCTCAGGGAAAGGAGGAGGAAGGGAGTACATTTGTGGTTAGGGTGTTTGTCTTCCCAAGTAACTGTTACACATGTTGAGGCTTTGCTTTCCAGGAAGTGGCCGGACATCTGCCTGCTAGTGGGAAGTAGGGAATAAATTCCTCTTTTTGCTTTACTTGTGTGTGTAGCTTTTGCTTTCCCTATCACACTGTCATTATCTCAATCCATGTGTCTTTTTTGCCTTTCTTCTATTTTTTTCCCAACCCTCCGGGAGAGGGGAGTGAGCAAGAGGCAGGGTGGATGTTTGGCTGCTGGCCTGGGTCAGCCCACCACACCCTGTATGCCACAAGTGTTTGAAACTGCAGGTTAAATTTAAAGGTGATTCTTAAGATTTCTTTTTCTTATACATACATGTATGTTCATGTGCTGACCATGTTTCCATAGACCTTTCTAACTTCTCATAAAGGAGGCAATAGCATCCTGGTCTTTGGAGTGTTAAAGTACTGCCACACTTCATTTTGGGCAGACTTTTGCTACTCAGAACATCGTAAAGGTCTTTTAAAGGACATTTTCAAGAGTCCAAAACTGCACCTGAGGTAGGTTTTTTTTTAATTTTTTGTTTTGAGAGCACTTGAAACCTCATCTCTTGAAATTTTTCTGGAGACTACATGCCTGGCAAGATTGGCTTTTGAGATTTTAATCTACCACAAGCTCTTTCATGTTTTCTCCTTACTTCTAATATAGATTCTGAGTTCTTTAAAAAAAAATAAATTTCATTTTTGTGTGATGAGCAGCTCTCATACTTTCGTAATAGTTTGACAACTTTCTCTGTATGAGATGATGGATAGTGTTAAACACAAACAGTGTATCCCTGTTGCCTTAAGCCCTGATTGACCAATGTAGGTTAATTTTATTATTGTGCATACATAGAGTTCAACATACATAAATGGTTGGTTCTGAATGTGTATAAGCTCCACCTCAGGACTATGCTAATAAGGCAGTGCTCTTCCTGGGCTACATCTGGCATGTATCTAGGTAGTCAGGACTGTTGGTGGAGGAAATTTGTTACCGTTTCTATCTGAGCATGTAGATATGCTCCTAGGGACTAGGTTTTTCAAAGTGAGACACTGCAGTGTTAGCTCTTTCCTCCATTTCCCTCTTTAAGTGGTGAAAAACATCCAAATAATAATTATTTTGAGAAGGTGGAGTAGAAAGGCCAAAGGAGGTGTTTGCTTTTCTTTATATTCTCCCTTTTTAAAGTAAAAGAAGAAACAATTTAAGCAACAATAACTTTGATAAATGGAGAGAATAAAGTTTCTAATTAGAAAGTATTATTTCTGAAGATAAAACTTATTGAGAATTTTTCATAACTTAATAAGGGGATGTCCTGGTTTGAGGTAAAACAGAATGAATTTTCTTTTCAGTAATTTTACTTTTTGGCTAAGCCTTTTCTTATTGGTGTTGCACAATTTTTTTCTTGTGGTGTTCCACAGGGCTCAGTGTTGGGGCCACTCCTGTTTAAAATCTTTATTAATGATCTTAACAAGGAAACTGAGAGCACCCTCAGTAAGATTGTGGGAGTGTTGATCTGCTTGAGGGTAGGAGGGCTCTTCAGAGGGACCTGGATAGGCTGGATAGATGGGCTGAGGCCAATAGTATGAGCTTGAAAAAGGCCAAGTGCCGAGTCCTGCACTTGGGCCACAACCCCATGCAACGCTACAGGCTTGGGGAAGAGTGGCTAGAAAGCTGCCTGGCAGAAAAAGACCTGGGGGTGTTGATTGACAGCTGGCTGAACATGAGCCAGCAGCGTGCCCAGATGGCCAAGAAGGCCAATAGCATCCTGGTCTGCATCAGGAATAGTGTAGCCAGCAGGACCAGAGAAGTGATTGTCCCTCTGTACTCGGCACTGGTGAGGCCCCACCTTGAGTAATGTGTTCAGTTTTGGGCCCTGCAGTATAAGAAGGGCATTGAGGTGTTGGAGAGAGTCCAGAGAAGGGCAACGAAGCTGGTGAAGGGTCTTGAGAATAAGTCTTATGAGGAGTGGCTGAGGGACTTGGGGTTGTTTAGTCTGGAGAAAAGGAGGCTGAGGGGAGACCGTATTGCTCTCTACAACTACCTGAAAGGAGGTTGTAGAGAGGTGGGCGTCGGTCTCTTCTCACAAGTTACAACTGATAGGACAAGAGGAAATGGCATCAAGTTGCGCCCGGGAGGTTTAGGTTAGACATTAGGAAAAACTTCTACACTGAAAGGATTCTCAAAGACTGGAACAGGCTGCCCAGGGAAGCGGTTGAATCACCATCCTTAGATGTATTTAAAAGCCATCTAGATATGGTGCTCGGGACATGGTTTAGAAGTGGGTCTGGTATAGTTAGATAATGGTTGGACTTGATCTTAAAGGTCTTTTCCAGCCATAACAATTCTATGATTATCGACTGAAATTATCAGCATATTTTTCAGACAGTGTCTGCTTCTAGCAGATAACGTCTGATGTTTATAGCTAATACCAAGGAATGATATGCAGAAAGGCTCCTGCTTATACTTATTGCTGTAACAGTCAAGGTCAGCTACCTTGTTATGTACCAAGTTGGAGGGTCAGGAGTGGAAAAGTGTAAAGGGGCTACACCTGTGGGGAGGAGCGGACAGGACAGGTGACACCAAACTGACCAACAGGGTATTCCATCCCATCTGCATCATGCTCAGTATGAAAGCATCAAATTTTCTTTAAAAAGTTATACAATCTAGAGGAGGAAAAATAATAAAAAACCCCTACAAATATAAAAAAGATTATGATTTTGTAAGCAAGAAAAGAGCTAGTTCATCCTGGCAATGCATTTAATCTACAGAAAGGGTATTTCACATTCAGTAAAAACCAGGAAAAATATTTGAAATTATACATGAAAAATGGGAGAATCGAAAAATGAAAATCTTCAAGAGAAAAAACTGATACTTAAGTATTATTAATCAATGCATCTAATGCTGCCAATAGTGTAAATGAGATGGCCTCATGACCTTTCAAAAATCTCATCTAGCTGAGGACTGACTAGCACAACAGTAGCACTTTATCCATTTTTCCTTTGGTAACTCAAAAGAGATGAACTTCACAAAAACAAAAGCAGAACTGTAAATACTGTGCATAGAGCTTATTATGTCCAGTCACAAAACACCACCATCTATAAAGAAAGCACTCCCAAGGCATGCAACCACGCTGCTCATCTAGGGGGAAAAATACTATGAAGTCATTATCTTTCCCAAGGACAGAAAAGGTATTGGAGAAACTCTTGAGCTTTTTATAACAAAGCAATGCCTATGGGTATAATTTATGTTCATCAGTTATATACTTTATACCAAAAAGGCAAAGCCTTTATTATAAATAGGCCTAAAGCGTGTGCTGATTTTCAGATTATGAAAGGTAATGTATTTGGTGTGTGGAATTTTGGGTGTTTGGGAGAACAGCTCTTCTGTTTTGCCTTGCACGCCTCTGCTCTTTCTGCATTGCTGTATTTCTGATTTCTAGGGTAAATTATATTTCTAATTAAACACTTCAGAAATTGAAGCTGTCTGTGACTTTTTAAAATTACTATACATACACAGCACAGTGTTAGATGAACATTGATTTTTTAATTTTTGTTTTGATTTTTATTTCCCCTCCCTCCAGTGCAAAGTTTAGAGAATGAGTTTTCATACAGAGAGGATTATTATGCTTGAATTCTGTTTCTTAAAATTTTAGAATTAAGTCTTTTGATCATGAGCTTTTTTTTAACTGTTACAGTCCAAGAAACCAAGCAAATATGTGCAGAAATTCACCTATTTATTACTATTATATACTATAGTAATAAAGTTTGTTTGAAGTTCACGAATGAAAAGATTGTGAAATTACAGGAGGAACAATCTAATATAGCAATTATAAGTGCATTCACTGTGCATCTGGCGGGGGGGAGAACAGTTTTCACTAATTTTGGCCTTAAATGTTGTGTCCAGGTTTCCAGGATTCTGACATCAGAACCCAGATAACACTGATTAGAACCATAGGGCTTTACAATAAAAGCTAAAATATCGACCATATGATGGCAAAAAGTCTTTTTTTTTTTTTTTTTTTGTTAACTTATTCTCTTCTAGCTACTCTCTGATGAAGTTGGTGGTGCTGTGGAGCAGTATCTCCTTCTTCTTGACAAAGACCACGATTGCTCAGCACTGTAGGCAACATATTTATAATTTTCTATCTGAGCCTCAAGGAGATCCCTCTGTTGTTGGCTGATTGTCCGGCTAATCAGTCCAGGGAGAGCTTGAATGCTACCAATTAAAGTTTCCAGTTTAGTTTCCAGAGTAACAATTCTCTTCTCAAAATCTTCACTTCTTTCATTTAAGTCAGAAATCATGTCATACATGATGTTTTGAGTCTGAAAGTAGAAGGACGTAAAAAGGGTTTAGAGAGATCTCACAAATATTGTAACATGCAGGGCAACTCTACAAGGGTTCTTAAATGCTTTTGCATTTCGCAAAGAGAAGATATAAGTATTCTAACAAAATCTAGTCTTGTGAAATGATTTTACTTGCAGATGCACGACAGACTCCCTACTGGTGCTAAATTTATTGAGCAGAAATGTAACATTGATATTTTGAGTAGCATTTTAAATGTCAACCTCTTATTGAATTTGACAAAACACCAGACCTTTTTAGAAGTTTAGATGCTTAGAAATGCACCATCATAAGATTTGTGAACAGAATTAGTTGTGTAAGTCACAAGGAGACCAAAGGTTCCAAAGCACAGTGATGTGCCCTTCACTTTTCTCTATTTCTTCTGATTTTTAAACACTTTCATACTTTTAAAAAGAAAACAATTTGCTTGCTTTTGCCTTAAACCGTGCCTGAACCTGTTGTAATAAGAGTAGTTGGGTGGATTGTTTTTGAAGTATAGAGCAAGGAGTAAAAACTCCTTGGTACACTCCTCTACCTTGCCCTATCTATTTGTCCTCTACAAAATGGTGTTTGGTATCAGAAAGTCTATGGGGTAAACTTTAAAATGTCATAATGCTTAGTACAAATGGAATCTGAAGTACGTTAATTCATAAAGTCCGTCACTTTCTATTTGACTTCCATTTGTTTCTTTTGCAATTCAGGCAGGGAAATTACTAAAACTAATGACTGAATTTCTCCCTCTTGTAGATAGAGACTTCAGATTAGACATAACCTAAATTTAAAATAACTGGTCATAATTCAGTAGATAAACTGGATGAAATTTATAATCCATTATAAAGGAATGAAAAATTAATTAAATGACTACCTGAAGTGCAAAGCACAGAAGTATCAGACAAGGGTCTGCATTTTCTCTGCCCTGTTTCAAGACGCTAGCATAATTGTTGAAAGAAAACTAATATTCATTAAGCTGAGGAGGAGCTGGATATGCTTTCAAATGAAGCATCTGGACCAACTGACCCTGAACCATGCAAGACCACCAGGAGGAAGTGGTGAGTGATAGTAATGGGCAAGTCCCTGCTGTAGGAGAGGGAGGCACCGATTTGCCAACCTGACCTATTTTCTAGAGAAGTTTGTTGCTTGTTAGGGGCCTGGATCCAGGATGTTGTGGAGAGAATACTGAAGCTTGTCCAACCCTCTGACTATTACCCCCTGCTCTTCTTCCATGTGGGCACCAATGACAGTGCCAGGGGTGGCCAGGAGAGTATCAAAAGTGACTATTGAGCTTTGGGGGTGATAGCCAGGGGCATGGAGTCCCAGGTGGTATTCTCCTCAGTCCTGTCGGTGAGGGGAAAGGGTGTAAGGAGGAGGGCACTGATAACAGCATGTCAACAATTGGTTGTAGAGCTTGTGTAAGCAACAGGCTTTTGGTTTCTATGACCATGGGACCCTGTTTGAGAATGAACGTGTGCTTGGGAAATATGGGCTCCACCTCACCAGGTGGGGGAAAAGGTATCTTTGCCAGTAGGATGGCTGACCCGGTAAGGAGAGCTTTAAACTAGGAATGACAAGTGACGACTCCTGTTAAAGGAGTGATAGACAGGGTTGACAAGCAAAATGCCTGGAGTGATATGACTGAAAGAGAATGCAAAATCAACAAAATAGGGCTTAAACGGGGTCACCTCCAACATTTGCATGTAAGCAAGGAAGTGCCTACAAGGCGCCATTATGGTGCAAACCCCCCCAACAGATTCTTGCTGGGAAATCAGCATGCTGGGGCGCCTCTGAAGTGCATGTACACTAATGCACATAGCATAGGGAGTAAACATGAGGAATTAGAGCTCTGCGTGCAGGTGCAGGGCTATGATCTTGTCGGGATCACAGAGATGTGGTGGGATAGCTCCCATGACTGGAGTGTTGCAATGGAAGGATACAGCATTTTTAGGAAAGACAGGCCAAGAGGAGGAGGAGGAGTTGTTCTTTATGTGAGAGAACAGCCATAATGCACGAAGCTCTGCCTGGGGATGGATAAGGAGACAGCTGACAGATTATGGGTAAGGATGAAAGACAAGACAGGTAAGGGTGGCATTGTATTGGTTGCCTGCTATAAGCCGCCTGATCAGGAAGAACAAGCGAACGAGGCCCTCTGCAGACAGCTAGGAGCTGCCTCACGTTCACAGGCCCTGGTGTTCATGGGAGATTCTAACCACCCCAATATCTGCCGAAGGGGCAACACAACAGGGCATAAGCGATCCACGGGATACCTGAAGAGCATCGACGACAACTTCCTGATCCAATTGACAAAGGAGCAACCGAGGAGAGGTACTCTGCTGGACCTCATACTCACAAACAAGGAAGGGCTCCTTGGAGATGTGAAGGTCAAAGGCAGCCTTTGCTGCAGCGATCATGAGATGGTAGAGTTCAGAATCCTGAGGGGAGGGAGCAGGGCAAAAAGCCAGATCACAACCCCAGACGTCAGAAGAGCAGCCTTTGGCCTCTTCAGGTACTGGCTTGGTAGAGTCCCATGGGGTAAGGCCCCAGACGGAAGAGTGGCCCAAGAAAGCTGCTTAACGTTCAAGGATCACCTCCTCCAAGCTCAAGAGCAGTCCATCCCAACAAGCAGGAAGTCAGGCAAAAATCAACTGAAGGAGTTAGGTCTTTTCTCACTGGAGAAGAGCAGGCTCAGGGGGACCTCATCACAGTATCCCAGTACTTAAAGGTGCCCTGGTTTGAGGTAAAACAGAACCAATTTTCGGTTCAGTAATTTTACTTTGCAGCTAAGTCTCTTCTAACTAACTGAACTCTCTGAAATTAACAGCATATTGCGGAGACACTGTTCGCTCTCAGAGAGATAAGACCTATGTTTATAGTTGATGCTAAGGAATGGTATGCAGAGAGGCTCTTGATTAGGCTTATTGCTATAACAACCAAGGTCAGCTAACTTTGTTATTTGCCCCATTGGAGGCTCGGAAGCGAAAAGCGTAGAGGGGTTGCACCTGCAGGGAGGAGCGGACAGGACAGGTGACCCCAAACTGACCAACAGGGTATTCCATCCCATCTGCCTCATGCTCAGTATAAAAGCTGAGGGATCAAAGGGTCAGTTTCTCTTCCTTCAGTGACTGGCATCCAAGGAGGACTCTGTCTGTTTGCCTGCCTTTGATCCTGATCCGTGCTTTCCTGAATCCAGATCCAGAATCCAGTTCCTGTCCATCACTGAGTCCAGTCTGGGACTTTCCCAGTGCCTGCCAGTGACGTGATTGGCATCCTGGGACCTCAACACTGGTTTTGTATTTATTGTATATATTTCGTTGTCTCCTTTATTATTTTATTATTAATATTTCATTAAAGTAGTTTAGTTTCTTCCAAACTCATAAGTCTCTCTCTCTCCCTCCTCTCCTTGGAGAGAGAGGTGGGGGAGAGCATCTGTTGTTCGTTTCAGTGGCCAGTCTGGCCTAAACCACAGCCCAAGCAAGCTGCTTGTCATGGTTTGGCCTCAGCCAGCAACAAAGAACCACACAGCCGCTCACGCAACTCCCACAGCCGTGGAAAAATAAATCGACAGGGCAAAACTCGTGGGTTAAAATAATGCAATTCAACAGAACAGCAAAAGGGAAGATGAAAACGCGATTACAGTACCGCCGCGAAGCGCACTGACCGGACCCGCACCGCCACAGCCCACCCCCAAGTGGCGACTACTCTCTTCTCCCCAGCTAGCTCTTCTTATAGCCTGGGCATGAGTCACCTGGGGTGGAATCCCTGCCCCCTGCTGGCTCCTTGGGGAAATTAACCCCATCCCTGACGGAACCAGGACACTGCTTAATGTTCAAGGATCAGCTCCTCCAAGCTCAAGAGCAGTCCATCACAACATGCAGGAAGTCAGGCAAAAATCAACTGAAGGAGTTAGGTTTTTCCTCACTGGAGAAGAGTAGGCTTGGGGGGACCCTGGGGTGGAATCCCTGCCCCCTGCTGGCTCCTTGGGGAAATTAACCCCATCCCTGACGGAACCAGGACACTGCTTAATGTTCAAGGATCAGCTCCTCCAAGCTCAAGAGCAGTCCATCACAACATGCAGGAAGTCAGGCAAAAATCAACTGAAGGAGTTAGGTTTTTCCTCACTGGAGAAGAGTAGGCTTGGGGGGACCTCATCACATTATTCCAGTACTTAAAGGGTGGCTACAAAGAGGACGGAGGCTCTCTCTTCACAAGAAGTCACATGGAGAAGACAAGGGGCAACAGACACAAGTTACGCCAGGAGAGATTTCATCTCGATATGAGAAGGAAATTTTTACAGTGAGAACAACCAATCACTGGAACAACCCCCCCAGGGATGTGGTAGAGTCCCCATCACTGGAGGTTTTCAAGATGCGATTGGACAGGATGCTAGATAATCTCATCTAGGCTCCCTTTCACACGATCTGTTAGACCAGATGATCTTTTGAGGTCCCTTCCAACCTGGGCTATTCTATAATTCTGTGATTGAAAAATGCCAGGAGGCCTGCGTGGATGAACAAGGAGCTCCTGGCAGAACTCACACATAAAAAGGAAGTATACAGAGGGTGGAATCAGGGACAGGTAACCTGGGAGGAATACAGGCATGCAGAGATACAGTGAGGAAAGCCAAAGCCTACCTGGAATTGAATCTGGCAAGGGATGTTGAAGACAAGAAGAATGCCTTCTATAAGTACATAAGTGACAACAGGAAGGCTAGGGAAAACGTGGGCCCACTGCTGAATGGGGCAGGGGCCTTGGTGACACAGAACATGGAAAAGGCTGAGGTACCAAATGCCTTCTTTGACTCAGTCTTTACTAGCAAGACCAGCCTTCAGGAATCCCAGGTCCCAGAGGCCAGGGGGAAAGTCTGGAGCAAGGAATACTTACCCTTGGTGGAAGAGGATCAGGTCAGGGAATACTTAAACATACAAAAGTCCATGGGCTCTGATGAGATGCACCCTTGAGTACTCAGGCTGATGTCATTGCAAGGCCA